GCTCACAGCAACCTCCAACTCCTGGGCTCAAGTGATCCTCCTGCCTCAGCCTCCTCCCGAGTAGCTGGGACTACAGGCGTGTACCACCACACCCGGCTCATTTTTTTTCTATGTATTTTTAGTTGGCCAATTAATTTCTTTCTATTTTTAGTAGAGACGGGGTCTCGCTCTTGCTCAGGCTGGTCTCGAACGCCTGACCTCAAGCGATCCTCCCTCCTCGGCCTCCCAGAGTGCTGGGATGACAGGCGTGAGCCACCGTGCCCGGCCTGTCTGTGGCTTCTATGTGATAAAATGAGAATATTTTACAACGAGGGTTCCTCCTCCTTGATCTTTCAAGATAGACGATTGATGTTCATTATTTTCTTATCATTCCCATAGTCCCTTCATCTTATTTTCCTTAATCACAAATGTAACTTCTGTAGGAAAAACGATTAAAAAGACAAGTGTTTTTTTATTAGGAAATGATCACTGCTTGTGGTAGACAGCTACAGAGAGTTTACATTCCAGCGGGTACGTATTGCCTTTTTAAAAAAAAAAAAAAAAAATCTTACGTATTTCATAGACCGAAAAAAAAAAAAATTGAGGCAATCCAAACCCAACGTGAATATTTTCCTTTACTGAGGAAGGACAGATTCTTTCCTACTATTCAAAAAAAACTTTAAAAATGAAGAATTATGAGTTTCACATATTTCTGAAATACAAGGCTAAAATATAAGGCTTCGGGGAAAATGGTCTGTGATTAAGGGCTGAATGATCACTCCAATAGAGCCCATTCCTATAAAAATACATGGACCGACGGGAAAGCATCATTTTTGGATGGGTTTGATAGCAAGGAGCTATAATAACTTTATTAAAATGTACTTACCTTGAAATGCCTAGCATCTGAAGACTAGACTTGAAATTAAAAAGTACTTGGATTATCTGATGTCTTTATTTTAAAGCACAGTAGACATCAGCTGCCTTGAATCACATATGATGGCTTTAGTGAACTTTTTTTTTACCATAATCAAGACAGCTTTATCATCTCTGCCATTAAAAAATACATAATACCAGGCCGGGACGCGGTGGCTCACCCCTGTCATCCCAGCACTCTGGGAGGCCGAGGAGGGAGGATCGCTTGAGGTCAGGCGTTTGAGACCAGCCTGAACAAGAGCGAGACCCCGTCTCTACTATAAATAGAAAGAAATTAATTGGCCAACTAATATATATAGAAAAAATGAGCCGGGCGTGGTGGTGCATGCCTGTAGTCCCAGCTACTCGGGAGGAGGCTGAGGCAGGAGGATCCCAGAGTGCTAGGATTATAGGCATGAGCCACCACGCCTGGCCCAGGGACGGTATATTGAAAGGCAGAAATTTCTCTTCATTTATGTAAAACGTAAGCACATACGTCATAGAGTGTTTATTGACGTGTTTATTGACTCCTGTTTATTGACGTATTGGCATGTTTATTGACACCTTCAGTGATCCACCTTCACTTAAGATGCATCTTCTCTTGGCAACAGAACCACGGTAAAAGGAGTGCTTTTATTATCTTCGAGTGTATCAGGAATAAAAGCGTTTGAGCAAAAAACGATCCCACTGTATTACCTGCTTCAGTTAGTTCTTGCTGCACTAAGTAAGGTACTTTTATATGTTCCTTTTATAAAATGATTGCATCCAATAGTTTTGGAAATGGTTCTTGGTGCAGCCCTTTTATTTTACAGTTAAAGCAACTGTACTCTTGTTTGCTTTCCCTTCAGAGACCATTGCAATTGAATCGCATTTGATTTGCATGCACTGCATGTAAATAATTGCATGCATTGTAATTTCATTCAAGACTGAACTGAGTGTAATTGCTGCACTTGGGTCTGGGTTAAGAGAAATGGTTTCCAAGTAGGGAAAGGATTGCTGGCGTTTTGATTTTTCTGTTACCTTAAGGCCTAGGAGTTAGATCTAAACTCTAATCTTGGTTGAACTGCTAAAATAAGTCAGCTAGTATTATTATTCTCAGTTTCCTCATCTATCAAATGGGTGCAATCATACCGACTGTGTCTGTCTCACAGAAAAATGGTGAAACCCAATTGACAAAAAGTGCATGTGAAGACGCATTGAAAGTTTAAAATCCAGATATAAATTGGGTATTATATTAATATTCTTTAATATTTTAAAAGATTTTCTCCCTCTAGCTTCCCACGGAGCCTTAAATGTGTCTCAAATGTTGATGATATGTGATTTTTTTGTGTGTGCGTAGCACAGAGACCACTTGGGTGACCATGTGGAAATAAAGAGGTGGTAGTCATTCCGTAACACAATCTATATCCCAAACCTGCGTTCAACAAGCGATGATTTCTGTCCTAAATATGGTAGCGAGGAGGAACAGGCTTGTCTGTGTCTTTGAGTAGAGATTTCTCAAAGTTAGCTGTTCTCAAAGTACGGTCCCTGGGTTAGAAGAATCAATATCAGCTAGAACCTTGGTAGAAATTCTCCAGCCCAGAGCAAACATTCCGAATCAAAGAACCAAACTCTGGGCGGGAGAGGGTCACTCACAAATCTGTGTTTTGTTTTGTTTTGTTTTTTTTTGAGACAGAGTCTCACTTTTGTTGCCCAGGCTAGAGTGAGTGCCGTGGCGTCAGCCTCGCTCACAGCAACCTCAAACTCCTGGGCTCAAGCGATCCTCCTGCCTCAGCCTCCCAAGTAGCTGGGACTACAGGCATGTGCCACCATGCCCGGCTAATTTTTTGTATATATATTTTTAGTTGGTCAATTAATTTCTTTCTATTTTTAGTAGAGACGGGGTCTCGCTCTTGCTCAGGATGGTTTCGAACTCCCAACCTCGAGCAATCCGCCCGCCTCGGCCTCCCAGAGTGCTAGGATTACAGGCGTGAGCCACCGCGCCCGGCCACGAATCTGTGTTTTAACAAGCCCTTACAGGTGGTTTTGATCCATAGTTGAGCAACACTGCTCCAAAATTGTGACCTTAGAGTTTTGACTATTTTATATCATCATCATCGGCGTCCGAATAACTAGGATGATTAATGTGCTAATACTGCTGGTCTCATCTGGTGGTCCTTTTAGGGGGTCTCTCCGTGGACAAATAAATGGTTTATTAATTTATGTAGCAGTAAGCGTCTCTTACCTTAGAAGGTGTATTACTGCCTTTTTGACAGTTTTTGGCCTGGAGAAGGTCTTAAAGTCAGTTTATCAAGATTGCTTGGGCCGGGCGCGGTGGCTCACGCCTGTAATCCTAGCACTCTGGGAGGCCGAGGCGGGAGGATCGCTCAAGGTCAGGAGTTCGAAACCAGCCTGAGCAAGAGCGAGACCCCGTCTCTACTATAAATAGAAAGAAATTAATTGGTCACCTAAAAATATATATAGAAAAAATCGGCCAGGCATGGTGGTGCATGCCTGTAGTCCCAGCTACTCGGGAGGAGGCTGAGGCAGGAGGATCGCTTGAGCCCAGGAGTCGGAGGTTGCTGTGAATGAGGCTGACGCCACGGCACTCACTCTAGCCTGGGAAACAGAGTGAGACTCTGTCTCCAAAAGAAAAATAAAAAAGAGTCCAGCCCTGTGCCACCATGGGCTGAACAACGGTTTGACTTAATATAGAGCCTTGTCTTTGAGGAGTTTATGGTCTTGGGAAGGAGTCGTAGCAGAGTAATGAACATGGTAACAGAGGCAGGGTCCTGACCAAGGAATCAGGCCATCATGACAAGCTTGCCTCCTTGCATAAAAAAAAAAAATCTGAATTATCCAGGATAAAAAGGGTGGGTACAGCTATGCTAGACAGAAGCAACAACAGGTGGGTGCAAAGTCCCAGGTGTGTAAAAGAAAGTGTGGCTTGCTCGGCCAGCCACTCACCTGACTCCTAAACCCATTTTTCCATGCTTCGGGTGTTATAACTCCAGGGAGTTCAAAATTGGCAAGGTTATCCTGCCAATGGCAAAGCCTAACCGGGCTGCAGAAGATATATTTATTACCAGCAAGAAAAATCCAGGCTGTTGCCAATACCAGCCAAGAGTGAGAAGATATCGCCACCTATGGGTAGTTATATTTCAGCATCCAAACTATTTCTTTGGGAAGAGCTGGGAGCAGCTGGTGGTACCGTGTTTCCCCGAAAATAAGACAGGGTCTTCTATTTATTTTTCCTCAAGAAGACACCCTAGGGCTGATTTTCAGGGGATGTGTTATTTTTTTTCAACCATCTGCACTTGAACTTCAAACAAAGTGAAGTCCCCGTCTCTCTTCCTGAACATCATCCCTCACTCTCCAGACCCCGAATCCCCTGAATGTCTTGCGACCTGTTTCCTTTAGAGCCACCGGCCCCGATCTCTCCTGTTGCGCACTAGAGATCTCACGGGCGCGATTGAGAAGGGCGCTCGTGTCTCTTTCCCGCCTCCGCGAACGCACACGCATGGGTTGTGCAGATGCGCTGTGCAGCCACGCCCGTCCACTAGGCCCGAGTTTTCGATAAGCACGCCCACCACCAGGGCTGATTTTCATAGCCACGCCCACCACTAGGGCT